ATAGGAATCTTACCGAAGTCAGTTATTTCCTGTTTTTGCTTTTAAATTGTGTTACTACTCCAGCATGTACCGTCCCCTTTAAAACACAGCTGGATCCTTAACTTCCTGTCTGACAGACGCCAAGTGGTCAGACTGGGCAGCATCACTTCACCTCATCAACCTCACCCCCATCACACTGAACACTGGTGCTCCACAGGGGTGTGTACTGAGCCCTCTCCTGTACTCACTCTACACCTACGACTGCATGTCCACTAGCAACTCCAACATCATTGTGAAGTTTTGCGGATGACACTACAGTGGTGGGTCTTATCACCAAAGGTGATGAGACGGCCTACAGGGAGGAGGTCAGCGCCCTGACCCACTGGTGTCAAGACAACCATCTCACCTTCAACGTCGCAAAGACAAAGAGTTGATAGTGGACTTCCAGAGGTGCAGAGAAGTACACATCCCCATCACCATCACTTCCGCTTCCTTGGTGTACATCTGGCTGAGGATCTTATGTGGTCAGTACACATAAACAAAACAGTGAAGAAGGCGCAGCAGCGCCTCTTCTTTCTCAGGAGACTGAAAAGATTCGGCATGAGTCTTATATTTTGCTTGTTTTTATGTTATTGTATTTTTGCACACTTCTGTTGCTTGTGAAGCTCGCACACAAGAATTTCACTCACATGTACTGTAGCAGTTTACCTGCACATGTGATGTGACAATAAAAGTGATTTGATTTGATTTGATTTGATTTGACAAAACTCAAACAACGAGCTGACTGTGAAACTTGAGCAGCTTTTACCAAATAAAAATGCAGTGTCCGATATTTGGGAACACTTTTGGTACAACATCAAACAAAAAGAAGAAAAGAATTGATCACATAGTGGTGATTTTGAATTGAGTTCATATTTCTCAGCCCCAAACCAAGGAAGGCAGAAGAGCATCCCCGAACACACAACACATTGAACCTTAAGCAGATACGCTACTCCAGAAGAAGACCACACCGGATGCCACTCCTGAGAGAACAGGAAACTGAGACTACAGTTCCCATTCCCAATTTGTGCTCATCAAAACTGCATAATTAACTGGTCTAAAGAGCCTAATTTTTTCTTGCAACATTCAGATAGTAGGGTCAAGATTTTAAATAAAGAACATGAGAGCATGGATCCATCCTTCCTTGTATTTATGGTTTAACCTCCCGGAGATGGTAATACTGTCACAGATTTTTTTGGCACACTTTGGGGCAATGCTTACATGCAACAGTCTAACTCTATCCCTTTATGACCACAGTGTACCCATCCTCTCTTGGCTGCTTCAAGCAGAATTACGTGCTATGTCAAAAAGCTCAAATCATCTCAAATTGGCTTCTTGAACATGTCAATGAGTTCATTGTACTCAAATGGCCTCCCTAGTCACCACATCTGAATCCAATAGAGCAACTTTGAGATGTGGTGGAATGTGAGATTTGCCTCATGTAAATCTGCAGCAACTGTGTGATGCTATCATATCATTGCGGATCAAAATCTCTGAGGAATGTTTCCAGCACCTTGTTAAATCTAATCTCCTTGGGTCTGTTCAGCTGCCCTGCGACTGTCCCTCTTTGATGCTCTGAACAGAAGCCCTTGTGGCATGCTTTACCCTGGCCCCCACAGACAAGTCCATTCCTGCCAGACTATCACTGGTCAATCCAGGATTAACTTATCTTCTCTTGACTCTGTGTATGGTCAAACAGAACAAACCAG